CATACCATGCTAGAAGAATCGAAGCCTTAGGCTTTGGAGATCAGACCTTCTAGACATGATGAAGTGGATCAATGCTATTGATGAAAGCACGGCGTACAAAGAGTCGATTACTAGTGAGGACGACTGCGACAGATCAAGTGATGTAGTTTGACAGGTGGACGAAAGTCATACAGCACATTCCTCAGATGGATCACAATAGTCATGCAACGTGGTGTCTCCACTTCAGAAATTTATCAAGGGCATGCTATGCTAAATCATGCACAAGTAAGAGATCAGTTGCAGATGAAGATGCATCTACACGAAGTCATTCGACTGGGTACACTTCCCGTCTCTTTACTAGCTCTTCGCTTGATGTCGCAGACTACTGAGCTTTATAAAGCGGTGGCGAGTATATGGTATCTGAAGAAGGTATGTTTCTACTCTAGCAAACCACGGTAAAGACCAAACGTATCCAATCTGATTAGAGTACTGAATTACTGCTGCTTTCGTTTCAGCATCGATCAGCCACTATTTAAACACACTTCTGCACTTATTTCATGGATCTGCCACAAATAGATGGTGCATCGTGCCGTCGTAAGCTGACTCGCGACCGCTATCCTGCAACTTGTGCGACCACTATCCTGCAACTTGTGCGACTCTAATATACCGTCAACCGTTTACTAGCTTCAATGTGTGTGCGATGTGGTGATGTAATAGGGGACAAGTAAATGCGACGTTGGCTTTCTTGGAACTCTTTTAGCTGGTAGAAGTGCCATATAATCTCATGGCGACGTTTACCGCGACGGACGGCGGAACCGTCACACCCAAGTGGATATGCACTACCTCGAACTTCTACATGCCTCATCTTATCTTTTGCCAGGATACACCCAAGTCGACACTTTGCAGCACCTACATAACCGCGACTAATCAGAGTCATGAACCAGCAAGCGACGTACAGCAACGATCCGATGAACGTTCTTGGTGGCAACTTGTTGATCAACTTTGATGTCGACATTCGCGGCTCTAAGCCTGAGATTCGTAGCATGGACTACACGAATGTCAGTGTCGATGGTGACGCTATATACCGCGTCAAAGGTAGTGTCTGCGGTGGCAGCGGTGAAAAGCCAAAGGGGTACAATTGCCCATTGAAAGATGCCATCGCTGTTGCCAACTGTTTGGATACTATGAAGAGCTACCGCAACGGTGCGTGTGTGGCCACAAGTGATGCCATCTGTATCAAAGCCGACGACGCGAGCTGGAGGTGTGTGCGGGAGGACGATGTACGGGAGGTCGCAGCTGTAAACACTGACACAAGTGCCTCGAGTTCCGACAAAGGGTATACACGTACGATATCGTACGGAGACGACACGACAGCACATAGTAAGTCAGGAGCGAGTACGGAAGGCGACAGCGTGGGTCTCACTTCAGAGAATGCAGGGAACGACTGCACGCCTATAAGCATCGCAGGTGATGCCACTTTCTGCATTTCCGGTACAATTTGTAGTGGTGACGGCGACCAGCCCGCAGGCGACCGATGTCCCGTGCAAGGCGACGTTGCAGTCAGCGATTGTCTTGTCAACCTCCCAAGCTACTTAAATGGCCAGTGTATGGCTCCTATTGACAGCGTATGCCAGAAAGCTGGCTCGGGCGTCTGGGGATGCAGCTGGAACGCTAGTGACAATGTCAAGTCATTTAGTATCGATACTGAAGAAGGCACAGCAGCAGCTACCGATCGTGATGACACTGCGATTGTTGTGGTAGTTGTCGCTGGCATGGTACTAACAGGCGTGATCGCCTGTGTCGCCTATGCATGGTCTCGTTATAAACGCTCGAGCTGGAGCGACTCAAACATTGTGATGGATGGAATAGTCACGCCATCCAAATCGGTCCGCAACGAAGTCTTCCGACGTGTGTAGTACGTGCACGAGTATCACACTAGTAGAACCATAGGATTCTAGACCTTGCGTGATCAGCGCGTACGAGCAAAGAAAATAAATACACACCACTGAATACCAAGAAATATGAACCGTGTAATCGAAAGGAAGTGAGCATGCTACTGTTTGCTTTGCCTTTCACGTACTAAAGAAGGGATACAGCACGTCGTAGGAAGTTTAATCCCAGCGCACACCTACGTATCTGCAAATGACCAGCGTTGGCAGTTCTTTGATTCACTGTTTTTCTACGGTCGCAGTGCAAAGCTTCAGGAAGGAGGGTAGACAGATATTTCTGCAGGAAGCCCGACCACACAGACGAGGTACGATGCAGGCAGCATGCAAGCGGTTGCAGCGGATATACGCTTGCGATGCTAGATACTCACATAATGGCATAGATGCTAAGGCTCATCATAGACGAAGCTGGATGGGTCTATCGAATGGTTGAGTTTTGGCACTGCAAAGTGTCGTTCAATCTCTTTTTTAATGAGCAAGTCCAAGCTCATGGACCATCGCCGATACCCGCAAACGTCGCATTCTTCCTCCTCATCATGGTCATCTTAGCTGCGGAGAAAGAGTGGAACAGGGCTGTGCGACCAAGAGCTTTTCGAGACAGCGTCTGTCTTCGCTACAATCGATCGCGGTACAGTTGCCTACAAGTTGCCTGTGGGAGCATACAAATCAGTAACGGACGTGAAACTACTCAGCGCGAACTATTCGACATGATACGGTGCGACGATTCCTGCCATTGCCGCAGCCACCAGTTCTTGTTGCTCGTGAGATCGATTCCGTATCGATAAGCGTGATTACCAGCAACAAATTACGCTCAGACAGCGCTTATTTATCAAAAAGTCCGAGCGATTAAAGCCCGAAAAGACACTATCTCATGTGATAAATGGAGAAGAAAAACAGGCCGTTCGTTCGACCGCCCAGTGTGTCGTTACTTTATCTTTTGCCGTCTCACGCGCAGAACGACAATTTTGGGACTTTAGTATCATGACGGATCAACGCGATGCCGACGAGTGCAAGGACAAGGGCAATGCCGATAACGTCACGGACGCTGTCGTCGTGGTTGCGCCATACCTTGCTGCCGTCGCCGTGGTTGACAAGGCCAAGCTCAAGCTCCAGGCCTCGATCGTCTCGACGCTTATCAAGTGCGTCCCGAGCTGGCACGACGTCACGCCCGACACGGTCGACGTTGAACATCTGGGCGGCGCAATGACGAACCTCATTTTTGCGGTGCACAAGCCCGACGGCGAGCACAGCGACGTGCTCGTGCGTGTGTACGGCGAAGGCACCGAGTCGTTCTTTTCTCGCGTGGAAGAGACGCAGCTGTTCCAGCTCTTGAGCAAGCAGGACATTGGGATTGAGCTGCTAGGACAGTTTGCCAATGGTCGAGTCGAGAAGCTCATTACTGGCTCGACGTACACAAACAGGCGCATGCGACACGTGAACGAGTCGCGCATCATTGCGAAGCAGCTGCGCGTGTTCCACGAACTTTCGATCGAGATTAACCGCACCCCTACGTATCTCTCTAGTATCCGGAAACTACTGGAGGTTGCCCGGGTCAAGTGCACGTGCGACAAGTTTGATGACGTGATGGACCTAACCCAGATGGCGCAAGACGTGGACGAGCTGGAACAGCTGGTGATGCGCGTCCCGTCTCCGATTGTCTTGAGTCACAATGACTTGCAGTATGGCAACATTATGAAGAATGAGGCGGGGGAGGCCGTGCTCATTGACTTTGAGTACACGAGCTACAACCCGCGCGGGTACGACTTGGGCAACCACTTTTGCGAGTGGGCATTTGACTACCACAAGACGGTAAATGCACATCTGGGCGACTTTAGCAAGTACCCGACGGTCGACGAACAGCGCACGTTTTGTCGCGCGTATTTGGCTGGCAAAGACGGCGACGAGAACGACGTGAGCGAGGAAGAGGTGGAGCAGCTACGACACGAAGCCAACACGTACTCGCTGGCGTCACATCTGTTCTGGGCCCTCTGGGGCTACATCCAGGCGGCCCAGTCCACGATCGACTTTGACTTCTTGGCGTACGGCAAGTGCCGCTACGACGCGTTCAAATCTCGCGTCACATTTAGGAATTGAACTGACGTGCAGTATAATCAACGACGAAAACGTAGCGACCTTGTGTTCCAGTGGTAGAGGTTTGCTGTAATGAAACGTGACGTCGAAGCACTGACGATCGAACAGGCGATCGATCGATCACTTTTTAATACGGAGAATTGCTGTCGATCGCACGAAATTCGATGTAACGATAGTGCCGCTGCTACATGCGTGCGCGTTGTAGGTTGTCGCTGAATGAGATTGTCTGACGATTGTTGCTGCGTGCAGACGATCAACGGAATGTCATTACTGGCGGAATAGTGTCAGGTTTGGTGCTCGGGTATCCTTAACCAGCAAGATGCGATAGCATGCTTATGCACGTGCGCCACCTTCAGTCCCTTGACAACAAGTTGTCACGCTCGCGTAATAAAGCTTCTTATAGATAGTGAACACAGTAAGTGGGACTTAGATGAGACCTCACGAGGTTAGAAACCGTCGAGCTGACTAAAGCTGCAAATTTGAATTCACCAGCGCGTGAGCCTCACGCCATCAGAATTAGCTACTCAAAGTGTTCGTGCCGTCCTTACAGAGTCAGCCTTGCTACAAAGTTAGCCAACTGGCAGTAGCGGCACAACCAGCAGGTCCTCTGCAGTACGAGGAATCGCTATGTTAAAGACCGTAATAGACAATGCAGTTCACTACAGTCACAAGTAGCGTGGCTATAACCGCTCCATCGACGCCCACCATCAACCAAGCCGTAGTCGACTGCACGCGATCTCAGCTCAACGACGGCCAAGTCTCTCGGCAACTTCATAGAAACTAAGCCACATGTAAACCCCCTACGAGAGTATCGAGACTACACACAACCAGCCCCGATGCCTCAAAACCCACCACAACACGTTGCAAAACCAAAAAATAGAGATGCATTTCAAGCCAGTGAGGACGCTCGCCACTGCACCTACGGCACCTTCTCACGTGTGCCAGCCGAAACGGAAGCGAAAACGACCACGACTCGCTTCCTTCCTAGTACATGTCGCCTTCAAACAGCACTTCGTCGTCGGCATTCTTGTGGTGGTAAATCTGGTCGCCTTCGTGTAGCGACACCTCGACACTCGCCGGGCCAATCGGCCGTTGCAGCGCCACCGGCTGTTTCTCCGCCCCGGCAGCAGTCAGCGGCGTCATAATCTCCTCGTAGTCGTCCGTGGCCTCCTGTTCGCGCATGAGCGCCGTCTGCCGCGCGCGGTCGCGCACCTTGGCGCCGAAATGGATCAAGCCAATCAGCAGCCCGACGCCGCCAATGACAATGGCCGTGATCGCGGCCCCCCCGAGCTTCGTGGCTTTCGTCGGCGTCTTCGTGTACGTCTTGAACGTCGTGTCCCAGTCGGACGCCATGCCCGTGCGACTCGTGCAGCACTCGAGATGTTCCTCCCACACGGCGTTCGTCACGACGCAGCGACCGGCGAGGCCCTCGCACTTTTCCGCGAGGTTCTTCCACGTGTACGTCTTGGTTTTGCTATACTCCAGCGAGCTCGTCAAGCAGCCACTGAGGACCATGGGCGTGCCTTTCGGGTCGCCGTAGCACCCGTTCTGAATGGCTTTCGAGCCTTTGATGCTCTTGGTGTTGCTCGTGTAGCGGATGCTCTGCTTGCCCACGGCCCAAAAGTTCTCACAGTCCGTCGACGCGAAGAGAATGGCCGTGAGGCTGTCCGTGAGCGGCCGCAGCGCGTTGTTAATGCGCCACTCGAGCGTCGGCCCAAAGAGGAAGCCGCAGTTCTCGGCCGAGGCGGGGCTGGCTTCCGTGGCGCACGACGGCTGCGTCGTCGCGTCGGCCGCGTAGCAGCAGCCGTTGGACCGCACGGCCGTGTAGATGCTCGGGAGCGACGAGATCTGCGTCGCGTTGCTGCCGTTGATGCTCGTGCCGTCGTAGCTCTCCGTGGGCGAGATGCACGTGTAGGGGCACGTGACGCAGCCGCCGTTGGCCGCGTAGTTGCTCCAGCCGTCGGTGGAGATTTCGATCACGTAGCCTGCGGATTGGTTGAAATGGTTTTTGCCAGAGGCCGCGGCGACCAAGAGCGCGAACGGGAGCAGGAGCGCGGCGGGGCGACGACGACCGACGGACATGGTGGTGGAAGAGCGGGGGGGTGAGGGTGAAAACTTTTGTCTTGACGTTTGTATGCGAAAGGCAAGTGAGGGGTGGTGGTGGGGGTGGTGGTGAATCAGATGAATCAGATGGAAGGAATGAGGGGGAGAGAGAGGGCGTGGGGATGATGAGGAATCGGTCGACCGACTGCTCGCTCGCTCGCTCACTCGTCTCTGTCTTGCGCCTTTCGACTGCGGCAAGGGAAAAATACAGAGTGATGGACACCGAGCACGAGGCGGCGGCGGCCGTTGCGACGGCGAAACGGCTGCGCGGTAAGTTACGCGTAATTTACGACGGCGAACGAGTCAGTGAAAGCGCGACCGTGGCGAGCGACGGGGCGGTGCCAAAGTCACGATTGGCACGCGAAATTTTGAGAATCCACTGGCGCTGCTGGCAGTCGCGATGGATAGAGTGACCGACTGACGACTGACCGAGTGACGGATAGAGTGACTGAGTGAGTGACTGACTGACTGATCGAGGAAGTTTAGGTTGATAAAAGTGCGCAAAGGCTTTGACTTGACTTGGCAAGTGTAACGAAATCTTACGATCGCCACGACGATGACGACGACCATCACAACGACGTGTGCGCGCGTTGCAGCGGTCATTAGTTGCTGGATTTAGGGCCATAAAGGAGGCGGTGATTGAAGGAGCGCGAGATTACTCGCGGGTCGAATACAACAATCGAACAAGAACATGCTTTTTTCGGCCTTTTTTCGAGCACCGACTGGCCTATGTAAGAAGTATCTTGCGGTCAAGCCGCTCGGGGCAGAGGAGACATTGACTGGCGTAGTGTCGCCGAGCCGAATTGACTGGCTGGCACTTCTGGCTGCGCTCAGCACCTTGTGCTCGCCTCCCGCATTGAAGTAATCGCAGTCGTCGCCTCGCGCCACGCGACTCGCGGTCGTTGTCGTCGTCGTCGCCATCGTCATCGTCGCCACGTGCTCGAGGAAAACAGGACGTGGCTGTCGCGCGTCGGTTGCTCGAGAACGAACGATGCGCTGTTGCGATTGCGAACACCGACGCGTGTTTACATGTGCATAAATATCTGCCAAGGCAAGTAGTAACTTCTCTTCCTCTTTTCTAGAATCAACCCCTAAGTGAGATAAAGACATGGGATAGATCCTGATCTCTCCATGTCTTCATCTCACTTTGAAGCAGATTTTGCGCGCACCATCAGTTAATGACATTTATGCACTGGCCTCTTGTCACATGGGTGCTCCCCACACTCGCAGCTGCCTGAGGTGACCAGGATCAGATCCAGGAGCCTCAATATCGGAATCGAACCTCGTCGAAGCAAACGTATACGTGCGTGCAGTCTCTTCCGCACTTCGTGGTGTCGTGGACGTGGCCGAGTCGACCTCGCGTACACAGACTGGCCAGCCTCACGCTCGAGTCGACGAAAATCCATTTACGTTTTGTCGCTCGTTCGACCGTCTGGCGTGTCGCAAACCATCCGACCATACTCCCACGAGGTTTAACGTAGTCAATCGCGCGCGCGTCTCTCCCTCTCGCTCCGTTGCGCACAAAGTGGTGGCAGAGTCGTTCACTCAGAAGCCAGTTTCAAGCTGTCCCGTCTATCCCGCGCGCCCTCCCCCCCTCTTTCTCCGTCCTCGTTTCTCTTGTATTTAGTATGGACGTTCTCTCGAAATAAATGACGGTATTTTATCCCCTGCCAGCCCGCACGCCAGTGAAACGCCCGCCCGCCGCCCGTCCGTCCGTCTCTCTCCCCCTCCCCTCGTGCCTTCCAGAGAAAAAACCACTCGGCGCCGTCAAAACCGAGCGCACGTACGAGAGCTCATTTCTGGTTTGGTGCTCCTTCACCAGCAGACCAAAGACGCCCCACCACTTCCCACCGCGCGGACACGCAGCTCTTTGTCGCTCGCTCCTTCTCGACGGACGGACGGACGTCTTACCTCTTGTCGACGGTACCCCTCCCTCGCTCGCTCGCACTCTCCTCTGCGCCCCCGAGTGAGTAGTCGCAGCAGCTCGTTATCAGCATGGTGCTGACGGGCGCGGGCGTAATCGCCTCGGTCGTGGGCATCCTCGGCGGCCTGTCGCTCTCATGCGGCGGCTGGTCGTCGCTCTCCCTCGGCGCGCGCTCGCTCTTTGTCACGACGCAATTCCTCTCGGCCTTTGCCATGTACGTTTTCTGTCCATTGTGCATGGCGGTGATGTGACCATCACTCTTGTGCATTTTCCGTTCGTAAGTAATTTATCCCTGACACTGTGGTTTTATCATTTCATCCAATCACAATAGGGGATTTGTCGTGGCGTTTACTGCCATCGTCTCGCTCAGCGACACGAACGAATGGGTCGCACTAGCGGCTGGCGGCGGCGCTGGTTTCTTGGTCGCGCTCATTGTCGGCTTCATGACGCTCTGTGGCCCGTACGTCCTCATCTTTGTCACGGGCGGCATCGTCGCGTCGTACCTGCTCCTCATTGACGCCTACAATGGCATCAACGTGTTCCCCGCGGACAACCAACTCGCTCGGCAGGAGTTTGTCATTGCCTTTATGATCATCTTTGAGCTCGTGTGCTGCTCGAGCTCCAAGTCGCTCGAGCTCGAGAACCACCGCATCAAGTACGTCGTGTTCTCGGCCATTACGGGCGGCTGGCTCGCTGCCGACGGCGTCTCGCGCCTCATTGACTCGAGTGCCGTGCTCTCGGACGTGGCGTACCAGTCGATCCAAAATGGCGGCACAGCTGCACTCAAGGGCATGGACGCTGGCTCGCAGACGCTCATGTTTATCATTTGGGCCGCTGTCGTCGTCATTGGCGGCCTCAATCAGCTCTCGATGCGCTGGGGACTCATGTGCTACAACCGCGTGGGCGCTCACGCACAGCTCGGACCTGTGGAGGAGCAGCTGCCGGAGCTGCCCACAGGCGCGACGCTCCCGGCGCAGACGCTCACGGAGCGCGTGCGCCTCGTCTGTGAGAACTGTTTTGCGACTGTGCCCAGCGGCACGGCGTTCTGTACGGAGTGTGGCGAAGCCATGCCGTCGGAAGACGCAAACCCAGACGTGAGCATCTCGCAGGCGCAGATGCCGTCGGTCACGATGAACAGCAAGAGCCAAGCGCCTGAGCGCTGGCAGCAGGTGCCACATCGCACGTACCTCAGTACGACGTCGTTTGTGGACCCGAAACACGCGAAAGAAGGCGGTGTGAGCATGAAGGACAACGGTCGCAGTATCCGCTTTATGGACGGGGGAGTCCAGGGCCCAGACGGCAAGATGGGGCAGTATAACGACTCAATTGCTGGTGTCCGGAACTACTACGAGCCGTCCTTTCGGTCGTTTGCCATGTCGACGTATTCGATTGCGAATCGTGCGGCTGAGCCTGTTGAGACGCCAAACATTCGCAAGTACAAGATGTCGGGCAGTGGCATGTTCCACGTGTTTTACTTTGGCACGGCGGCTACGGGTATCATTTGGCTGTATTACTTGACGACGATGTACCCGCAGCAGTACTTTTGTGACCACGCGCGGCCGACGTTACCATGTGACATGTTGCCGGCCAGTGAAACGGAAGGCTGTTTCAGTTCGACGGTCAACTATGACGCGGACTCGGGTGATGGATATTGTATCCGTAACGTGCCGTTCATGTCGTGGGTCATGTACGCTATGATGGTTTTCAGTGAGTTTCTCAATTTCTTTCTGGGACTGCTGTTCAACTTCAGTATGTGGCGTCCGATTCGTCGTGGAGCGCGGTACATGAACGATTTCAAGCCGCCCATTCCCAAGGAACAGTGGCCGACGGTCGACATCTTTTTGTGTCACTACATGGAACCGGTCACGGATTCGATGCAGACATTGAAGAACTGTCTTTCTCTCCAGTACCCGCCCGAGTTACTGCACATCTTTGTGCTGGATGATGGTTACACCAAGTCGGTATGGGACGCGAACAATCACTTTAAGGTGACGGTGAACACAAAGGTGATCGAGATTTGTGGTGATTTGCGCGGCGACCTTGCCCGGCTCATGCACGAGCGTGTGGTCGGGCCTGTGCAGGACGACCAAAGCTTGAAGACATGGCGTCGCCAGCACAGCTCTGTCCGTGAACTTCGCAAGGAGGGTGGCAAGGGCGTGCAGCGTCGTGATTGTGCTGTCGGCTCACTTTCGGACGACTACGACTACCGTGACCGTGGTATCCCGCGTGTAACGTTCATCGGTCGTATGAAGCCCGAGACGCACCACTCCAAGGCTGGTAACATCAACAATTGCTTGTTCAACGAAGGTGCTGACGGCAAATACTTGCTGATTCTGGATAACGACATGAAGCCGCATCCGAAGTTTTTGCTTGCGGTGCTGCCATTTTTCTTCTCGGAAGGCGAGGCTGTTGACGGTGGAGGACGTCAGTACAGTGACGACATTTCGTGGAACCAGGTGTCATACGTGCAGACTCCTCAGTACTTCGAGGACACGCCGCAGTTGACGATCATGGGCGATCCGTGTGGCCACAAGAATACTATTTTCTTCGACGCTGTGCAGTGTGGTCGTGATGGTTTCGACTCTGCAGCTTTTGCCGGTACGAATGCTGTTTTCCGTCGTCAAGCTTTCGATTCGATCGGTGGTATTCAGTACGGTACGCAGACAGAAGATGCCTTCACGGGTAACGTGCTGCACACTTCTGGTTGGGACTCGGTGTATTTCCGCAAGGATTTCGAGGGCGATGCCAAGGACCGTATCCGTCTATGCGAAGGTGCTGTTCCCGAGACGGTTGCTGCTGCCATGGGCCAGAAGAAACGTTGGGCAAAGGGTGCTGTGCAGATTCTGCTGATGAAAAATGAGAGTGAAGTCGACCCGGACTGGCGTCCACCGCGTGTGCCTGCTCCGGACCCGAAGCCGTCTCTTACGTTCCCACGCAAGATGTTCTTCTACGACTCGGTGCTGTACCCGTTCGGTTCGATTCCTGCCTTGTGTTACGTGGCAATTGCTGTCTACTACTTGTGCACGGGAGACGCTCCGATCTACGCTCGCGGAACCAAGTTCCTGTACTCTTTCTTGCCCGTGACGTTCTGCCGTTGGGTGCTGAATCTGTTGGCAAACCGCGCTGTTGATAACAATGACGTGTGGCGCGCGCAGCAGACATGGTTTTCCTTCTCGTTCATTACGATGATGGCAATTTTTGAGGCCGTCCAGGCGCGCTTGACGGGCAAGGACAAGTCATGGGCAAACACGGGTGCTGGCCAAAAGACGTCGTGGACGGAAATTCCGAACGTGCTCTTTTTCTTCACGCTGCTGTTCAGTCAGCTCGTGGCGCTCATTCGTTTCTTCGAGTACGAGAACGCAACGAACCCGTGGAACTACGTGTCTGCGATGTTCTTTGGCTTTTTCGTCATGAGCCAGTTCTACCCCATGGTCAAGATGAGTATTACCGAGTACTGTGGTTGGGACCATACTGCTGCCACCTTCACGGCGAACGTGTTTGGTTCGCTGCTGGTGGTCTACATCGTGGTCTTCGTGCAGTTATGGCAAGTGTACTACGCTGGCAATCTCCAGGTGGCCCAGGGCATCGTAGCAGGTACGAGTGACCCAGTGGCAGCGACGTAGACTGGAATGTCGCGAAGAAGCAGCTGATGTTTGGCCGAAGAGGAGAAGGAGACACATGGTGCGATGCATGCCGAGTACAGGTGAGGAGAAGCGGTAGTGAATGTAGCCTTTGTAGCGAGCGGGTGACGCGCTTGAAACTGCGCGCCGCCGTCATTTTCTCTCTAGTGACTGGATATTTGCATGCGTAAAATTGCTTTTGCCAGAACCGGTTGAAGTGGTGTCTTCATGAGGTCTTTTGCTTGTCCTCGAGGGGTATTGCCATCAGCTACAGTCGATGAGGTCTTTGCCAGCGCAGTAGATCATTTCGAGCACCAAAGGTTGTGGTGACGTGCCTCTTCTTCTCTTGCAGTCTACTAGTATTGATCAAGCATAGATACGTTTACATCCAGTGCTGCACCACGCAGCATAGCGGATGATTGTAGCCTGCGGTTTACTTGTCGACAGCCTAGTTGATTCACACGGTGACCAGCTGAATGCGATAACGTCGTGGACGCAGTGTCGGGTACTCCGTCCGAACACGGCGGCCAACGAGCTACACATCCTGTTTTCGCCTGAATGAAGTTCGAGCCTTGACATGCAGCTGGTATGCTATCGGTGGTGATACCCCATGTTACGACCCCGGAAGAGCGAAACCACGAACGCTTTCAACAGATAGACTGCAGCCATCTCTCCGTGCAAGTGTGACCGAGCAGGAACCATCCTGATACTTTCCAGTCTCTTAGCCAGGGCTTGCGCTGCATATAACACGATCGACGAGCTTCAACAACGCATCATGACCTCCACTTTCTACCTGAAGTGCAGATTCCGACGCTGTACGAGAATACACCAACGCGTGTCCGCTGCATATGAGTCCACAATCGAATACTTCTCCGAGTATTCTCGGCTAGCAGTTTAATCCACCAGCACCACACACCCGACCATGCTTGAGTCAATCTCCATCTCTTGCAAACTGCAAGCTCTGGCCATGCACGAATAGCTGTTCTTGTTCCAAGCAAGCTGTTCCCGGAGTCACAACACTACCGTCGGGTGTAGTCTCCGACAGCAGATGGCCTGAGCCACGTTTCCATTGCTAAATCGGTGCCAAATTGCGGAAAGACATATCCTGCGCTCCCGGTCTCCACGACATTCCTAGTTTGCATCAATGCTGAGCGACGCGAGCAAATCAATTATAATTCGGTCAGCGGTCAGCTCGGTCGATGCGTGCGAGTTTATTATCTTCGCCTTGAGGACCGACGCTGGAAATTCATGGTACCACTCGAGACAACGAAGCAAAAAGGATAGCAAATATAACGCACAGCTTTCACTCCCCTCTGCATACAACACGTGCTGTATCTGCACAACTGTTTCATGCTGTACTAGTCTTCAACATTCTTGACATTCAGCTGTCAACACCGAGCCCAGCTGAAACCTGCACTACAATGATGCAGTTTAGTAAAATGATGATTAAGTACCGAATAGCACTTACCATTATATATTTGCTCCAATAATTACATGAACACCATGAAAACCTGTCAATGAAATTTCTGTACCATTGATACGATCAGATGTTGAAATAAACTTTAAATTGGTTGAAATATATTAATTTTAGTATCTTTTTTAGATAATTTCTGTAATATATATTTTTTAATTCTTATATTTAAAGAAAAGTAAAAAGCTCAAAAAAATAGAATAAAGATACTTAAAGCATTATTTTGTTTATCGTCGAAACTAAATGAATGATGCGCCCGATAAACTGTACGTTTTACTAATGTAATGTTTTGAATAGGCTCTTTATCTTTGATGGTTAGGCTCTTTATCTTTGATGGTTTATCCTTTTTTATTGATTTTCATTCTAAAGATTTAATATTGGAAGTGGCTTTTGCAAGACTCGTTGAAATAGGACATTTTAATCAGGGAAGCGTTAACCACCCCCCAGGTTTTCGCTAATCACTCCCACCCCCTATATATTACCGTAATTTATGTATGTTACGCCTTCTAATTGGTAAGATTAAGAAATCACAGTTCCCAGAAGTAATTTACAATCTCGTTCACACACGATAAAATACGATATCCGAATATAACACGCATGTCATCAAGTCGGCGACATGTGGTAATTTATCATTTGGCTGCTTCCTTTACAATACACTGAAACCCGAGTAGCAAGGAGTTGCGGCAAACGACGGAGGGGACACTATTCTATTGGCGAAAATGCAAGATGGTGAGAGTGTGACGAAGGTCGGCCGACCACCCTCGGCAGGCAGATGCAGCCACAATCGGTTGTAAAAATGGTTGGATGGTAGAGAGCGTAAGAAACATTGTTTGTAGGATGTTAAAAAACAAATATCACTTCTACTTTCACAGCACCCTCAATACCTATAAAGTATAACATATTCAACATGAGTTAAGTACACTCACCTAGTTCTATTCCAATTCGTTCACATTTAAGGGGTGGTGAGTGGCTAACAAAAACTGGGCGGTATAATACTGCCGGCCTACCTCTTGGGAACATTTCTGACCCTCACGCTCGTTGCTTGCATTTTTTAAAATTGTTGAATTCACGTTTCTTGTGTCCTACACCACATCAGCGATCCTAGACGACAAGATGTGTTACTTCATTGACGTAAAGTTTAACCCACCATAAGGCTTAAGTAATAATTACGCCGTCCAGTCACATACTAGAGCACTGCCTTATAGTATTATTTTTGCGGCAAACCCAATAAGCAGCTCGCAAATGCTTCTGTCTCTTTCCGACAACACTTCCGCCTTCCATGAAACGTGTACTGGAGTCTTACAACGGCTTCGTCTTGCTATCCCCATCTACGTGCTGGAAATGAAAGACAAATGTCGTGGGGTGATTAAATGTGAACGATTTTCAATAGAACCAGGTGAGTGTACTTAACTCACGTTAAGTAGTGTCCTCACCGTCGTTTGCCGCAACTCCTTGCTACTCGGGTTTCAGTGTATTGTAAAGGAAGCAGCCAAATAATAAATTACCACACGCCGCCGGCTTAATGACATGCGTGTTATATTCGGATATCGTATTTTATCGTTTGTAAACGAGATTGTCAATTACTTTTGAGAACTGTAATATTCGCAGCCATACCGATCAGAAAGCGTAATATACATAAATTACGGTAATATGTAGGGGTAGGGGGTGGTTCACGTTTCCCTTTAATTACTGGTTAAATACAATTGGTGCTTTTCCACAGCTTTTTATTCCACTCATTTGATTGTTTTTGCTGTAAAACTTCATCGGGACAAATGAGGAGTCCATCAGGCATGCATGACCTCCGTAGCGGGCGACCCAACTACGTGCATTTCCTCGATAATGATGTGAACATGTTAGCACTTCTAACGGACTGACAAAGATACAACGTATGAGCCCGCATGGCCAACTTGTAGCCGATGCACTGCCTTTCGACTTCCACATCTGATTATGTTGCACCCAGGCCGTATTCGCGAGTCTTGCTTTAGATCTATCCGTGTCTGCACAGCCAAGTATCGCCGGAATGCCCGCCAAAGGACAGTTCACCAACAGACCGTATAGCCTTCTGAGTAACACAGCGTACTAAACTTCGATAGATCCTCCAAATTCCGAAATATCGATCCAGTGGAGTATGGACACCCAAATGCATGTAACGTGGCAGCCTTCTTGAGTATTAGTGTCAGAAATGCTGAGCGTCATGAGCGGTACAGAACTGGACTGCCACACACGAACAGCGTGCGGCGTGACAATTCCATTTACATACTCAAGCCTCTGCAGTATAAAAAACGCTGGATATCGTTTCGACTCTTCTTCATGTCTCGCGTGCTTGAGCAAAACAACGTCAAGCTCTCTCCATTACTCACTTCACTTCACACAACTAGTAGATCCATCATTAAAAGTAATTGTCGTCATGCGGCGGAAGGATTGGCAGTCATAGTCGGACAAGCAGGCTATGACTCATTCCAGTCGCTCTCAATCTCCCACAGTATCATTATTCGAACGTGCACAAGCACCCCACCAGCGATAACTATTCCGCCAATTGCAGATTGACGCGACCATCGCGTGCCAGTCGTGATGCCACCACAAGTAGCAGCAGTCTCCAAGCACCAACATCCTGCTTTTGCTTTAGCGATACCCCACCGATAGACGCAAAGACTTGAGGATGCGCGTCATGCGTAAAAAGTGTCCGACAAGTATCAACACATCTCAACAGAGTCTCCCACCTTGCCCATTGTGCCTCCACATCCTCGAAAATCTACGCGGACCTTGCCCGCCTTGCCAAATGGTCTTTCAATCTTGCCTTCGCCCGAATTCTCATCATCACAAGCGACGCATCGCACTTGGCAGCCTACAGCAGCATCTGCCTCTTGTTCATTTCCAAACAACCCCGAGACGATCGCAAACGGATTTCTTCCAGTTGCAGTTGTCTCGCCCTTGAGACGCTCGATTCTACCTTGTCGAGGAGCAGTGTAAATAAATGCATTGTTTCCTTCATCGTGAGCAAGCACAGTCTTCGTGGCAAGACGAACGGCGTCCATTAACATTGCATCAACATTCGGAAGTGAGGTCGATACTACGAAAGCTTCCGGGTAAAGCAAGCGACTATCTTGAAGCAACAAGGCTTTCCCGGCAGACTGAGCGCTCGACCGAGGAGCACGCCATCTAGTCGTATGAAGCCTCCCTCCAGACTTTAATGGCTTCAACGTGACTAACTTGACAAAACGCAACACAAGCTTGTCTCCTGGAGCAGGAACAAAACATCGATGCGAATTCGACGTTGTGCTGTTTCGTTCCAACGCTATGCGGAACTTGCCCGTCTTACCAAAAGGCCCAAGAATGATCCCGAGCACTCGTGCTTTCTCAAACAACACTGCTAAGCCCTGGTACACGCTCCACTTTACGTCCTTCGAATACATGCCACGACCGATCACCTCGATTTCGCCTGCATCGATGCCACTTCGTGGCGTGGATACTTTGTCCACAAAGCCATCTCGACTTTTCACTCGACCGATTCGCATGTCATCCAGGTTCACCA